TGAATTACATAATTTTAGATGTACATGGCGATAATTCTGATTATAAATAAATTCATAATTCGCTGCTATTACTAGTTCATTACTTCTGTCTGATATACCAAAAGAGGGTTGAAATTAAATTGCAAACATTTATTAGTCCAATTACGAAGCTACGACACCAGACTTTTAATATTTTTAGCAATTATCGTTTAATGCTCAACTGACACGTTATGTATCCAAAGCTTATGTTTCAGATATGGCACATATTATTTAGAAACATGCATTTAGATTTTTTTTCAACATCTGTGTAAAATAACAATTTAACTTTAGTTTAATTGTTTGTGTATTTATCAAAAGCTCATGTCTAACTTTCGTTTAAAACAATTGATAAATTTAATTAAAATGATTTGATTGTTATATCATGTTTTTAAAAACTAACATTTTTTTGTTTATTATATTTTAATATTATCTTTACTTTTATTTATTGAAATAAGTACGAGTGATATTACCCACCTTATTTTTACGGCATTTAACAAGAAAATATAAATCCGCTTACTCAAGTTTTATCTTTTACCTATTTATTAGTTATTCATTCAACTATGCAAAGCAGCAAAAATAAACACTGCTCCTGATTAAATATATAAAATAATGCAAACATAATATTCTTATATAAAAATATAGTACTCTCAACCATATAAAAATTATGCATGAAGTTTAAAAAATATATCACAGAAACGTTCTAGTAAAATAAGAAATGCTGATAAAATATGGAAATCAACAAAAATAAACACAGCTCCTGATTAAATATATAAAACAGCACAAACACAATACTCGTATATATAATTAAAACATAATACACTAATTCATACATAAATTGTGTATGAAGTTTAAAAAAAATATATCACAGAAATGTCATGTAAAATAAAAAGAAGAATTTTTAGAACTTGACTTTCCTAGCCTTTACTGAAGCAAATTGGTTGATAATGTGCTCAAAGTCAAAAATTTTCAATTCCTCCTTCTCTATACTCAATAACGATAAGTCACAGAGTCTTTGTTGCCCCATTGTTGTCCTTAAGTAGGACAAAATTAGTTTCAGTTTACTGAAGGATCTCTCACAACTTGCAATGGACGTAGCAATTGTGAGTAGAATCTGTGTAGCGATTCTTAAGTTTGGAAAAACACTTTCATCGCCGTACTGAACAATGAATTTTAACAAATCTAAAGGATTTGTTATCTTTAAGTCTGTGCGACTTGCTAAAAGCATGTGGCAATCTATTATTTCCTCATATAGTTCTCCTCCATCAACATCAGTGTTATAAAAATTAGCCAAATTGTGGCATTTATTTTTAACATGAGATGAGGAGGTGAAGGAATTTTTTCCATAGAAAAGTTCTTCGGTATTCAATAAAAACCCAAACTTTGAATCTATATCATTAAGACTTACAAATCTCTGGTCCATCTCCTGGTCCAACCGATCTAAAGCATTTTTCATTATTCTATTTATCTCCTCTTTTGCGGTTAAACCAACATCGCGTTCCTTTTCGCCTGCCATTCTTCGAATGCGTCTTTGCCGCTTTTCGAAAGGGACGTCCCATTCTTTACAAAGATCATTCCCTTTTTCTATGGCTTCAGAAACTAATTCTTCCCTTTCACCTTGAAAAAAATTGCGAAGGGCTTTGAGATCTAATGCAGCTTCGTGGAAATTTATTTTCGTATCTTGAAGCCTCTTTTGGATACGATCTATGCGTGTAAGAATTTTATTCCAAAATCCCAACAAAGTAAAAAATTCGTAGGTCAAAAGCCTACCAAGAAGAAGTGTCGCTGCACTTCTAGTTTCACAACTTTCGTCTAAGTCAACTGACATATGCTGAATTGTGCTTAATATTTTGTCAAGATGACTTTGTATTGGTTTGATTGCTTCGATTCTGGAGCTCCATCTTGTTTCTGACTCTGATTTTAAACTTGTGGGAATAATTTTTTCCAGTTTTTCCCACCTGCTTGTTGATCGGGAGAAAAACACATAGATAGCATCTAATGTCCCAAAAAACGTAATCATAACAGCGTCTTGCTTCGCCGCATGCACGCCCACCAGATTGAGAGAATGGTTATCACAGTTAACAAATGTGGCCAAGCTATTTTTTTCTTTTATTCTTTGAAAAACACCATTCTTTTGTCCAGCCATTACAGCTGCGTTATCGTAGCATTGTGCTCTGCAGTCTTGTACATCCATTTTGTCTTTTTTCAGTTGTTGCAGGATACACTCCGATAAACTTTCTGCATCTTTTTTATTTATACGAATGAAATTCAGAAAAGATTCTTTTATGGAGACGGTTTTATCGGTAAAGTTAATATCTACATATCGGATCACTTCCGACATTTGTTCGTGGTGTGCTGAATCTGGAGTGCAATCAAAAATCAATCCGTAATATTTAGCTTTTTTGATTTTTCCTAATAAGCTATTTCTTACGGAATCTGCCATTAAGTGTAAAAACTCATTTTGTATGGTGGGGGATAAATACGATGTTGCACCGGGATGATTTTCTAAGTAGTTGATGTGCTCTTCCATAACGGAATCGAATACAGCTAGCAGCTTCATTAAACTCAATAAATGACCGGGATTTTTAACATCTTCCTTAAGACCTTCCCGATGTCCTCTTAACGCTAGATTTTCTTCAGCCAAATACTTTATGCAAAAAAGAATTCTCTTCAAAATAGCTCGCCATTTCTTCGTTTCATTTTCAATTTGTATTTGCAACGCTGCATCAATGAAGCCCTTTTTATTAACCAAATTTCTCTCCATCTCCTTCCATTGAGTAAAGCATTCTCTGTGGTTTTTTGCATTTTCATGAGCAGAAATTCTTTCGGGGGCTTTCCATAAGGTAAAACCAGTTTCATGTTCTAATTTAGAGCATGGAGACCTTCATCGCCTTGTATTTCTCCATTATCATTAGTAATCACATCAATTATTTTATTAATTTTCCCTGGAAACGTATCAACTTCTAAATTCTCAGAACCGTCATGCATGGATTCCTGAATTTTAGAGGATGTATTTTTTTCAAAATATGTTTCAAAAAACTTACTAGATTTTTTATTTTCTTCATCTTTCCTTTTTCTCCTCTTACGTCCTTCATTCCCCGATTCTTTCTTCTTTGTAAACATTCGTTTCATAACTTTTTGTTAGCCAAACAAGCGCTTAACCTAAGACAAATCGAAATAATTTTATGAAAACTATCAGGAAAATTATTAAGATTTTCTTTTCTTTTAGTTCTAATGTATGCACTGTGGGTTCTTTTATAACGTTCTAAACTATAATTTTAGTGATAATTTTTTGATTGCTTCAAACAAACGCTAGTATATTTTTTTAAATATTTATACCTGTGGCGGTTTGAGCCTTTATTATATATATATATA